GCTATAATTCACAATGAACAATTCACGCGCTTGACTCAATTGTCCGTCTCTATCTCTGTCTGCAATTCAATTCCATTGTTGCCGTCACTTTTTGGCGGTCTTATATACAAGAATGCCACAAATCCAGCAAACAATCGAGCATTCACGAACCTTCGAGAATATCATGACGTGTTACTAGCGTCACGTGACTTCCGCTGTCGTAACAATATATATATATATATATATAAACTATTGATTGAATCCCAACCTATAGCCATAGAGTGACGCATTCAGATCCACCAGAATCATGACGAGAAAGTAAGCAACACCAAAGTGGACAGACCTCCTCCTCCACCTGAAGAATCCAGAAAAGCAACACCCCAGGCTCGGAATGATGGAATCATGTATGCTGTACACAACCAAAGGAACAGAACTCATCCAGTCTGGAATTACAAACATTCATCCTCACTCCTCAACCTAGTGGGCAAGGAGCATTCCACTTGCACCTGGAATTATGGGGAGGATGTGGAACAGCTGCTCTCAACCAAGGATGGGACCACTCTGCATTCGGAATTATGAGGAGATTGTGGACCCCGTTCCATGAACAATGTACTGAACCATTATTTATAAAAAAAGAAGGGCCATACACACCTCAACCAGATAGCCGAGCATCAAATCTGAACTAGTATTATAAGTAGACTCCCACATAGGCTGGTGCTGCTCCTTCCAACATCTGGGAAAAACATCCAGGGACCTGGGTAGGAGAGCCTCCAACTTTGCCCTCTTCTCCGACAATGGAGGAATTCACTCTAACACCCTGGAAGAAAAGCCTCTCTTATGAACACCTCATTTCTACAGAGCCTGTTGCAACTGGTAGTAATTATAGTGAATCAGTGGTTGCTAATGCGGACTGGTATTATAAAAACACACCTGTCTGGGCAACACTTGCCACATAGTTGAAAAAAAACATAAGGGACTCTGAAAAGTAGAAATAAATATACTCACCTCTCTGGATAATCTAGCACAAATGGTTAAGATAGCTAAAGGGGCTAAGCAAAAACCCTCAGATGAAGATATTGCCAGATCAGGCAAATAATGTGAGATAAAGGTACTGGGGGAGGTCCACATACCAGTCTGCACAATGACCTCCAGCAGGAAATTTGACTGAGCTGCTAAGGACATAGAAAAGAGAAATCTGATTAGATGTGACTCACAGAAGATAACTTATCCTCAAAAAGAGCCCGGAATAAAAAAAAAAGAGTTGCCCAGTATATCTAAAGGCATAAGTGCAGGCAACAAAACCTTCAAGATCCTCACTGAATATAACCAAGATTGAAATCTGATTAGATATAGAGAGAACGACTGAGCAGATGAATCAGAGAAATGGATTGAACCCATTTCTGGTCTGACAGAGTGTTGGGTAAAAAGGTCTGAGGATGTAGAGAGAATGTGAACTGGTCTGTGGATACACAGTGCAAATCACACTGATCAGAGATGTCTGTAGGCTAGCAGCAACGAAAAATAAACCTGCAGGTAAAGGGAATACAAGGCATATAAGAGTCAGGTCACAAATAGGTGTAGAGAAAGAATACATAACTTTAATCTATCTGGTAAGTAACTGGAATGGTCATTTGGGACCAATTACTCAAAATGATGTGAGGAATCTGGAGAGTACTCACAACACAATACTTACGTGATAATCGACTGGAAGTCGATAAAGCCACCATACACCATGGCGATTGTGGAAGATGAAAAACGTCTGTCAAAGAGTGAAGTCAAAAAACAAGTCATGGTTGACCACATTGATTGAAAAGGGTTTAACCTCCTCTCAATACAACATTGCCGATATGCATGCCATTACTGTTGATAAAAGTGTCTTTTGGACTAAGCAGAAACTGATACATGTTAAATATGTCAACCTTAGAAGTTAACCTCTGATGCCATATGAAAGACAACATAATCTCTATGCTAGAAGCTTGAGGTTCTGGATAGCCCTGTGTACCACATCAGATGATGGCTACATCCACAGCAAGAGCCTAAAAAAGAGGTGGAAGAGTTGGACACTGGAACAGAGAGCAGAAACCTGGGTGAAGCAGCCTATCTGGTGTTATCAACAGGATCTGACAATGGGTTGGAACAAATCATATTTCTTACCCTGAGTAACATATGAAGTGGAGAGAAGGTTTAGAGTGGTAATCCTGTCCTGTCCAGATGGAAAGTAGCTATTGCCAAAGCCGAAAGATGAGGTACTGGAGAACAAGTTGCCAATAGTTGGGTGATCCAATGAGAGGCCAACCCACCAATGAGAGTAGCAAATGAGAGCCAATCCAACAGATCATTGTGATGCAACATCTATTCTGTTGGGGGAAAATATTTAGATTTAGACAATGAACCTGCTACCATAGGCATTACCTGTGGAGCATGGGAAGCTAGAAGGGTGATAAGATAGGACTAGTTCCGAGAAAGGTGAAGAAATTCGAAAGAAAAGAATCCTAGACCACATGCCTCTCTGACGAGAAACATAAGATACCACCATGGAATAGTCAAGAGTAAAGCCTGATGATTTACCTCTTAAGAATCTCAGACCATGAAGCCTTGTGAAGGGAATCCTTGTCATCCATGCATAAACTCTGGTATTCCTGACTGTTGGTGTATGCACCGCATCCCTGGAAGCAAGGCATTCCTGAAAGAAAACGAACACTGGACGAGGTTGCAGTAGAAGAATCCGAATCATAGTAGCAGTGTCCCGACTGAAGAACCCCTCAAGATCGAAAATGATTCTGACTAAGGAAACTGGGAAAACTAGTAAATAGATGTGTATGATCCTTGATCACTTAAAGACTAATAAAAGAATCACTTGTGTTCTTGTCCCAAAGGCACGAAGGACTCGAGTGATGCCGACATTCCAAGAAGAAAAAAGAACCATCCATGCAATGGGAGAAGGAGAGATGAGTAGGAGTGTGGTGTCCTATATTATAACATTGAGCAGGATAGGAGAGAGCAGAGCTCAACTGAGAGATGAGATAAAAAATAAAAATATCCAGACTGATAACAATGAATTGGAGCAAAAGTAGATGTTACAGTCCCGAAAGGGAAGCCTGCATGGAT